TTTTTTTTTGTAAGTAGAAAGAGTGCACTGTAAATAACAAACAATAAAAAGTGTAGTATGCTAAATACATAAACCAGTAATATAGTCATGCATTATCATTATTGAGTACTATGTACTGTACATAATTGTATGTGCCATACTTTTCTCCGACTGGCAGGCAGCACACAGTAGGTTTCTTTACACCAGCATCACCACAGACACATCGGTAATGTGTTGCACTATGACATTAAGACAGCTATGATGTCAGTAGGCTATCAGAATTTTTCAGCTTCATTATAACCTTACGGAACCACCGTCATATAGGCCGTCAGTCAATGAAAACATGTTAAGTGATGCATGACTGTATTCTCCTGGGTTCCAGGAGCACGGTGAGTACGACATGTGGGAGAATTGGGAGGTGATGCACGTAGGTCATCACAGAGCGCCTGAATTCAGACTCCACGGGAAGCAGGGTCTGCTCAGTCCCAGACAGCTCCAGGTGGCCGGAGGGGAGAGCTGTTTTGGACTTCTCCTTCTCAGTGGACTAAACGAGCAGAAACATAACTACTCTCTTTGACCATCAATCCTGTTCATTTCTTCGCCACTTTCTGAGATTCAGCAGACAGATTCACCACGTATAATGCTAACTGTTTATTTTTGGAAGCAAACAGTTCTTTAAGGGCTTATTTCAAAATTTATTTTCAGGCTAATGTAGAGCCTCATCTCTATTTTGGAACTGTCACAAAAGCTGCCCTATTCTTGTGCTAAAAAACTGTGTTCAAGTGGAGAAGAAGGTATCCCTTAATTGTGATGTGACAGAGAGTATAAGGGAAAGAATTGCTCATAAAATAGTGGGGTCTCTTAGATCATAAGCCTGGATGAATTCAGAAGTCCCGCCTCCCTTCCACATAACATGTATTTAATACACTCTTTGCTTATTTCAACATTTCTAAACAGGGCTTACCAATAACATCAGATATAAAAGACATTGACAGCTTGATGAGAATTTCTGGCAGAATCGAGTGTGAAAGTCCAAACAGACATCTCTACGATTTTGTTGGAAACATAAGGCTTGATGGACACGGGTATGTAAAATCCATCTTCATGAAAACAGAATTCACTGTGTCACACTGTGTTGCTGATCTGGGTACATGTTATTTTCTTGTGCTTTAAGTCTGAGCACTCAAAATCTTTTTTCTTAAGCACTGCGGTGTTACTTCTACCCAAAGTCCTTTTGTGAAAATTAACTAGAGCTTAATTGACATTATAGGTATCACCAAAGACTTCCCCAGGGCTCCTGTTAACCTGGCAGTGGGGTGTTTTCAGGCATATGCCAGGCTTTTGACACATTGCTTAATAGTAATGGTTTATTTTTTGGCCAGAATACTTATGTTATAGGCCTAACTGTGCAGTCCGTGGCCTGGGTCCTTTCCTGTCATCTCTCGATACCTCAAGGAGTTCGGGCTCTACCCCAAAGGACTCCATCATATTTCAATTTCTATTGTCATCTCAGTGTAATTGCATACGCTGTTTGCTAGGCCGTGTTATCATTTATATTCATCTGTTGCTGTTACCTTCTTCCTACCCTTCTCCCACCTCCCCCCTCCCTCCTGTTCCTTTCCCTGCTTCTCCCCACATCCACTCAAACAGTACTTATCAAGCACCTAGCCCAGTTAGAGATGTTAAGGAGACAGCATTGAACAAAGCAGATAAATATGACTGCCCTCGTGAGCTTACTTCCTTGCAATAAGGGAAGGGCAGACAGACAAATAATAAAATGATAAATAAGAGAATTCTGTACTCTGTTAGAAAGTGTTAAATGCTTTGGAAAAAAGTAGCCCAGAATAAAGGAGAGATTTGGGAGGGAAACACCGTTAGTTAGAGTGGTCACGGTTAGCCTCATTCAGAAGGTAACATTTGAGCAAAGGTCATTTGGAGGTGAGGAACTTAGCCATTTGATTATATGGAGGGAGAGGATACCAGGCAGAAGGAATAGTGACTGTAAGTTATTAGTTATATCATTACGTCATCTTAAAGTGGGAAAGTGCCTGCAGTAACTGTGGAGTTACAGGGAGGACAATGTGGTTGGAGTGGAGTGACCAAGGAAGAGAGTAATAGAAGGGCCAAGAGGCAACAGTGGGCCAGACCATGCAAGGTTTTGTAGGTCATTCTACGTGTTGTTCTGGGTGCAGTGGGGATCCACGGGAGAGCTTCGAGGGAGGAATATCAGCAATTCAGTTTGGAGTTAATAAGTTTGTGATGTCCAGACAGAGATGTCAAGGAGACAGTTGAATGTATAAGCCTGGAGTTTGAGATAGATGTCTGGGTTCCTGAGGTAAATTTGGGAGTAGCTGGCATAGATATTTAAAGCCACAGAGTGGAAGAAACCCTAAGGGTGAAAGGTGAAGAGCCCCAAGGACTGTCCTAAGACTCTCCACCATTAAGGTTGGGGGAAAAGGGAGAAAACGAGACTGAGATCGCATTGGTAGGATGAAAA